CCCGCCCGGAAATCCGCCCGCCCCGTCCGGAAGTCGCCGTGCCCCGAGCGCCCACCGCGGCGGCGCGCTAGTAGGGAGCCTGATTGGTCGGCACTCGGGGCCCGCCTGTCTGTCACAGCAGCCGCTGAGCCAATGGGGGCGGGGGCGGCGGGGGGGCCCAGCCAGGAGCAGCGGCGCGGAGTGGCCGCCAGGGGGCGCAGGTGCACGTGGGGGTGTACAAGGTTGGCGCACAAGACTGGAGATGCACACGTGGGAGTGCGCACGTGGGTGCACAAGGCTGGGGGCACACACATGGGTGCACATGGGGATGCACAAGGTTGTGGGTGCACATGTAGGTGCACAAGGCTGGGGGTGCACATGTGGGTGCACATGGGGATGCACAAGCGCACGTGGGTGCACAAGGCTGGGGGCGCACACATGGGTGCACATGGGGATGCACAAGGTTGCGGGTGCACACGTAGGTGCACAAGGCTGGGGGCGCACACGTGGGTGCACATGGGGATGCACAAGGTTGCGGGTGCACACATAGGTGCACAAGGCTGGGGGCGCACACATGGGTGCACATGGGGATGCACAAGGTTGCGGGTGCACACGTAGGTGCACAAGGCTGGGGGCGCACACATGGGTGCACATGGGGATGCACAAGGTTGCGGGTGCACACGTAGGTGCACAAGGCTGGGGGCGCACACATGGGTGCACATGGGGATGCACAAGGTTGCGGGTGCACACGTAGGTGCACAAGGCTGGGGGCGCACACATGGGTGCACATGGGGATGCACAAGGTTGCGGGTGCACACGTAGGTGCACAAGGCTGGGGGCGCACACATGGGTGCACATGGGGATGCACAAGGTTGCGGGTGCACACGTAGGTGCACAAGGCTGGGGGCGCACACATGGGTGCACATGGGGATGCACAAGGTTGCGGGTGCACACGTAGGTGCACAAGGCTGGGGGCGCACACATGGGTGCACATGGGGATGCACAAGGTTGCGGGTGCACACGTAGGTGCACAAGGCTGGGGGCGCACACATGGGTGCACATGGGGATGCACAAGGTTGCGGGTGCACACGTAGGTGCACAAGGCTGGGGGCGCACACATGGGTGCACATGGGGATGCACAAGGTTGCGGGTGCACACGTAGGTGCACAAGGCTGGGGGCGCACACATGGGTGCACATGGGGATGCACAAGGTTGCGGGTGCACACGTAGGTGCACAAGGCTGGGGGCGCACACATGGGTGCACATGGGGATGCACAAGGTTGCGGGTGCACACGTAGGTGCACAAGGCTGGGGGCGCACACATGGGTGCACATGGGGATGCACAAGGTTGCGGGTGCACACGTAGGTGCACAAGGCTGGGGGCGCACACATGGGTGCACATGGGGATGCACAAGGTTGCGGGTGCACACGTAGGTGCACAAGGCTGGGGGCGCACACGTGGGTGCACATGGGGATGCACAAGGTTGCGGGTGCACACGTTGGTGCACAAGGCTGGGGGCGCACACGTGGGTGCACATGGGGATGCACAAGGTTGCGGGTGCACACGTGGGTGCAGAGGCAGGCGCAGCCCAGCTTTGGGCCAGGAGCTGAGGGTGGTCCCGAGGGGAGGCCCCCTGGGCACAGCTGCAGGGAGGGCGGAGCAGGTCGCGCGGGGACGTCCGGGCAGTGGAGACAAGCAGAGCGGAGGCAGCGGGTTGAGGGTTTATTTCCGGGGTGCAGCAGACAGCGGGGCGCTGCATGCCCAGAAGCAGGGCCCAGGGCAGAGCCGGGCGCCTGGCCAGGCCTCCGTGCAGCCGGGATTGCAAGCCACACGCTGTGCATCTCCACCACCCTGCAGCGCGTGGCGGCAGAGGCCAGTGACCCACGGCGCGGGTCCAGCATTTCCTCCATCCATCCCACCACCAAAGGCGCCAGCACAACGGCCTGGGGGGCAGAGGGCAGGACCAGCCCTAGACAACCCCGTCCTGCCCGGGGAAGGGCCAGGCGCCAAGGGCTGGAGCTGCCTGCCCCGCGCATGCCTGCCTCCCCCGGGCACAGACCGAGGGCAGCAGTCACTCCACCGGGCTGGCGACCAGGCCCTTTTCACCAGTGCCCGCGTCAGGAGAGTTTGTCCCTGTGCATTTGGGTCCCGGCTGCTGCTCCGTGGGTTGGGGCCTGCCGGCGGCGCCTGGGGCCTCGGGACGTGGTGCTGGCGATGGCGATGTGTCCGGGCAGCGGCAGTCACGGCACGGCTCCTTCACGCCAGGCGGCCCAGCCTCCTGCTTCTGCGGCCAGAAAAGGGAGCGATCAGAAAAGTGCTGCTCTCCCTCCCATCACCCCTGCTCACGGCCACGGCCACGGCCCTGCCACCACCACCCCTCGGGCCCAGCAGGCTCTCCGCCCCCTCACCCCGCGCCGGGGTGTCGGGCTGGACTGATCTGTGCCGGGCCTCCCCTTTCACCCCCGGGGAGATGACCCCTATAAATGCTCGTGCGTTGCCCTCCAGCGAACCCGCCACGGGCAGCGACACGGCCCTTTGTGCGGCTGTTGCTTCTCAGCCCGCAGACAAGCGGAGCAGCTGCCACTTGGTAGCGGCGCACAGACACGAGCTCAGGGAGGCGCCGGCGCCTGCTCCGGGCCCCGCGTCTCGGTGGGCGCAGCAACAAGGATCAGAGATTGCCGCTTCTCACAGCCACTCCTGCCCTTGAACTGCCGCTGCCCAGAGCGTCCTTGAGACACCCGCTCCTGCCACGGGGCTTGGCAGGGAGGGGGTGAGGCGACTCGGGACCACCCTGAAATGCTGCAGACAGGGATGCCCCGTCCTGTGGGCAAGAGGAGGGCAGCGCTCCCCCCACGGGACACCCTGGCGGGCCGCGGGCTCTGGGCTGGCAGCAGGGCCAGCCCGGGGCAGGACACCCTGCTCTCCATCACGCGCACGCACTGGCGAGAGCCACTGGATGGTGCTGTCAGCACGCGGCAGCGTGGCGCGGCTCGGCTGGGGCGGCCTCCTCCCAGCAGCGACACTTGGCGCACGGAGAAGCAGAAACCAAATGCACATCGAGGCCATGACACCTGGGTCCTGGCTCTGCCACAGCCTCCTCCAGCCCCGGGGAGCTCATGGGCAGGGCCCTGCCCCTGGCAGGGAGGCTGGTGCCCCCGAGGGTCGGGGCGAGCTCTGCTCAGTGCTTGTCCCACCGCTCTCCCAACTCCCCCCACCTCTGGGGAAGGTCCTGGAGCCGGGGGGCTACACTCCTTACCTGTGCTGGCCGGCGGGGACCCCGCTGGGGCTGGTGACTGGCGTGATTGGGAGTCCAGGCTCCCAGGGACTGGTTGGCGTAGAAATCCATGGGGTAGGTCTGCTGCCACTCGATCTCCTTCAGCGCCACGGCAGCCTGGGGGGCAACGAAACGCAGGCTCGGGTGGCGCGCGGCACCGCGGCAGCCCGCCTAGCAGGAGGCCCCGCGGGCTCCGGGCAGGAAGGACACCCACCCCGCACACGCGTTCGGGGCCCCTCTACACGCTACACATGACACGCTCAACTGGCTAACTGCAGGTAACTTCCACCAGCTGCACGTGCAATGTAACGATGACACCATGAAAAGGTCTGCCCCGCTCGGGTCGGAGCTGGCGAACGTGCAGGAACTTTACAGCCGGTTGTTACCAGGGGCCTTAGGGACCTCACTTCAGGGGTGCAGGGAAGCACATGCCAGCGGCAGCTCCTGCTAGTGCCCCAGTGCTCCCGCAGCCCCTTCCCATACACAGGTCGCCTGCTCGGGCCGGCACAGTGCGGGGATGCTCGGGCGGGCTGAGCTCGTTCAGCTGAACCCCTTCCACAGCCAGGACAGCGTCTGTGCCTCATTTGGCCGGGACGGCAGAGCTGTGGGGTCCCCCTTGCTTGGCAAAGCAACCGGGGCCAAGGGCAGGACAGACGCCTTACCTCGTAGGGCGTCAGCAGCGGCTTGCTGAAGGCCTCTCCCCAGTCCATGGAGAGCCGGGGACAGGCCACCTGCACCCACCTGCAAGGGAGGCACGGGGCGGTGGGCGATCCCAGCACAGGGTCCCTCTCCCCCTCCGCCCCTGGCAGGAGCAGCAGTGGAGCTGTGCCGTGAGCCGCCCAACCCCGGGGGTGGTTGGGATCCCTGCAAGCGCTCCCCCAATGTCCCGCGGTCTATCCTAGGCAGGGCCCCAAGTACCCCGAGGGCCACCCAACAGGGCAGGAGGGGTGCAGGGACGCTGGAGACTCCTCCCTGCCGGCTCCATGTCGGTGCTGCCCTCGTGGCTGGCTCGGGAGAGCGGTGTGGGGGTGCAGGTAGATGTAAGGAGCCTGGACACCACCCAGACCACGCGGCAAAGCAGGGGCCTGCACCAGCCCTGGCGCCCGAGGCCCTGCCTGCCCCAGCCTGGGGCCAGCAGCTAAGTGGAGGAAACGTGCGAAGAGGCTGCCGGCAGCTGCCGCGCTCGTTCCCGTGGCCCCATCACAAGGAATCTGCTCCTCTCTCCATCATGCTTAGCCGAGCCCAGCCGAGCGCGAGCGGCCCCAGCGCCGGGCAGCATGAATATTTCAGAGGCCAGGGCCATGCAGGCGGGGCCGGGAGGAGCCGACCTCCCAAGGACAGCCCGGCGCAGCCCCGTGCTGCCCACCTCCAGCAGCAGGGAGGGGCGCAAGGCGCAGCACAGGCCTGGGGGCCTTTACTCTGCTCCGAGCATCACCCAGCCGGGAAGCCCCCGGGGCAGGGATCCTCAGAGCCGCCCCCGGGCTGATGGGTTTTGCTCAGGATCTCTGAGGGACCGGGGTGGCCCCCAGGGGCCGGTGCCCCAGTGCCAGCAGGCTGGTACTGCCAGGAGCTGCAGGCCTGTGCTGGGCCCAGGCTCCTGCACCGTGCTGTGCTCGGGCACCCTTGGGAGGCCATGCCCCGTGTGCCCAGGAGACGCCAGCAGCCCCAGACTAGCTGCATGCTCCCCTGGGCCCTGGAGACACCAGGAGCAACCGAGCCGATGCCTGCATGGGGCACGAGGCACAGCCAAGGGCCCCGTCTCCCCTGCACCCCTCCCTGCAGGCTGCTGGGCCCGGCGGCTGCGTCCAGGACGCGCGGCAGGGGGAGGGGAAGAGCACAGAAACCTTCCCTGACAGCAAGGCCGCGTGGCAGAGCTAAATTAAGCCCCTTCCCGAATCCCTGAAGGCCCCAGAGCAAGGGAGGAGGCAGGAGGCCTCTGGCAGAGGCAGCAGAGTGCCTGGCTCAGGGCTGCTGGCAGGGCGCAGGCGCTGCGGAGCTGCCCTTGGCCACGGCGGGGGCGGCCCCTGCCAGTGCCCAGGGCCTGGGCAGAGATGCCCCCCTTGCATGAGGGAGGGCACAGCCGCCTCACCCCCTGGGGACAGCGGCCCCTCCCCGGGACCCTGCTGCAGGGCTGGGCAGAGGCTCCAGCCCCCAGAGCCAGAGCACT